GGATGGATGGATGGATGGATGGATGGATGGATGGATGGATGAATCGATAAATATGGGAACGAGTCATTGAGCAAACAAACAAACCATAGAAATACCTTTCTCTGTCTGTGGTGCTGCTGCTGAAGATTGGTCCAATTAGGAAGAGACCTATAGATAGACAGACAGACAACAATATCAAGTGAGAATGACTATGGAAATAACACGTGATGGAAAAATGGATATTGTACCTCAGAAGGCGGCTAATATCTTCATCTTTAGCCCACGTGCCACTGATGATTTTGGTTGGTTTGTCTCTGTCTCCAGAATAACGTAAGAGTTCTAACAACAGAATAATATACAGTGATACTTCTATTAGGCAGACACCCTTCATTAAACGGGCAGCTAGTCGCACGGACAAGTAGTTTCCCCTATTATTATAATACACTCAACGAAATTACTCGATTCTGATTGGACAAGAGGAGTACAATTAAATCCCAAATTGTACTCTGCAGAGTCCCAATTAAATTCCTCAATGTCGTTGAGTGTATTATAAATAAAAGAATCGCACAATGTTCTCGTACAATTCGGAATTTATAGAAGGCTAAAAGGCTCGTCCAATTTTGAAAACTTTCGAAACATCATTCGTACCTATAAGTTCCGAATTGTACTCAAGATCGTGCGATTTCCTATACATATTTGCCGTAACACACTTGAACAAACCTTTTCGAGCGAACAAGACAAACAGTTAGGAAAAAAAAGCCAAACTTCAAAACAAAAGTAAAAAACAAACAAAACAGTCATTTAGAAGGGCATAAAATTACTAAACTTAGAGGGGAAACAAAAGTAAAAAACAAACAAAACAGTCATTTAGAAGGGCATAAAATTACTAAACTTAGAGGGGAAAAAGTAAGTGAGATCGAGAAGAACACATTGATCATTATTTTCTTTATCTAAGCTATGAAAAAAAAAAAAAAAAAAAAAAAAAAAAAAAAAAAAAAAAAAAAAAAAAACAAAAAAAACAAACAAAAAAAAAAACAACCAACCAA